TAATAATAATAATAATAATAATAATAATAATAATAATAATAATAATATAGGAAATACTAACGCTCTGATGGTCATTTTGAAAAATCCTTTCTCAGTGAGCACCTAGAAGCCAAGAGGAACATACATGCCAAATTTCACATTTGTAGGCTTTACGGTTCTGGAGATTTTGTGATGATGCATGAGGGGCATTTCGTTTTGGGCATGTAGGTTCCATTTAAAAAAAAAACACGGCAAGAGAGCCGAGATCAGTGTCATCAACCGCAGATGACGACAGAGACAACCTGATGTGTTCAGAATAAAATCAAACTCCTGATGCAAATCCCTGCTTAGTCGTGGTTGCACTGCAGACAAGATTGTCTTCACCTTTTTTGATTGTTGTTTTTTTAAGCCAAGCTCAAGGAACTTACAATATTTAGTAAGAAAAAAGATTAAAGTATTTCCCCCTTTGGTTTTTATTTTATTTTCTCTCTTCAATTTATACAGATGTTTAATTAGCTTTATTTACAATTTTTTCCCCCCAGTCTCCAACAGGGCTTAGGTAAGCGCCGTGCAAGAACGCCAGTTATAAAAGATAATCTATATCGACTTCTAAAAAATAGAAGTGATGATGACTTGACGTTGTTCAAAGAAGAGGCAGGCTGGGCTACGCTGAAGCAGTTTCTGATCAGTTACTCAGGAGTAGTTCCGTTCCTCTGTACATCCCATGATTTCGATGACAAGGCCAATATTACTGCATTCTGCAAAGAAAAATAAGACAAGAAACAACTGAGGTCAGAAGATGCACCTGTAGTTATAAGCAGCCCCTAACTTCATTATCCAAATACATTTTTATTAAGTTACTAGCTGAATGCTCATGCTTCACTACAAAACTATGTGGTCGGGCTTAGTTTTTGGGGAGGAAAATAAGGAGAAAAAAATTGTGCCTCTGCTTACCAGCATCCATCACTATTCATCTGGCTAGCGTCTTGTCAGTGTGTGAGAGAGTTGAAGGCTGTTTAGAAACTGAAAGAGTATTTGCTATGTGAGCAAAAGGGAGACAGCAAGGAGCCTGGGTGTGGCTTAGCTCAACTGTTCTGTACTAAAGCTGCTTGGTGCTGTGAAACTAAAACTGAAACTGAAACTCCTCTCCTCTGCTTGTCTTTTGCATTTGAAAGAGATTTCTTTTCAGGTGGGGAGGGGGAGTAGAACTCCTTAGCATCAGAGCGTGTTAATAATAGTAATATACGAAATACTAATGTTCTGATGGTCATTTGGAAAAATCCTTTCTTAGTGAACCCCTAGAAGCCAAGAGGAATGTACATGGCAAATTTCAGGTTTGTAGGCTTTACGGTTCTGGAGATTTCGTGATGATGCGTGAGTGGTCTTTCGCTTTTATATATTGAGATAAAGTGTTATAAAAAAGAAAAGCAAATAAGAGGACAGTTAAGGGAAAAGGGGGAAGAAAAATGAGGAAGGGAAAGAAAAAGAAAAAACACATTGACTTCCGACTCTCTGTTGCAGTAAAATAAGGCATGAACATCAAATCACAACTTTTTTGTTTTTTCATAATAATATGAAGAAGAATAATATGAATAATATGCCATTTCTATAAAGATCCGTCAATCTAATCGGGAAAACCCAAAATCAAATTTTCATTCTTTTCCACGTCAACCACCGAGTTCAGAAGTGATTTCCATGTGGAAACAAAAGTACTTATGTTCTTTTCTTTAATCAAAAATAGTCAGTTTTGCCATTTCAACCAACTCCGTCTGCTTCTACAACCATTCGTCCTTCCATTTTTGCGCACACAATAATCTTGCTGCTGTCAACATATATAGTAACAAAAAAGGCCAAACTTTTTCTCCAATTCTTTTTTCCATTAGACCCATGAGGAAAAGTTCTGATTTCATATTCATCTCCATTTTCAGGATTGTCTGCATGAAGTCCATAATCATAGTCCAATTTTTTTTTAATTTTGCTTTATCACAGGGGCACCCTGTAAAAAGTCCCTCCTTTGCTTTTACACTACCAACGTACGTTGGACATGCCTTTATACATCTTAGATAACTTACCTCAGGGGCGTCAAACTCGATTTAATTGAGGATCGCATCATGGTTGTGTTTAACCTTGGAAGGGGGGTGGCCAGAGGGGGAGAGAGCGCATGCCTAGCTTAATGGCACTCATCAAGGCTCCGTTTTCAGCTGCAACGCCCTCCTGCAATCCTCTGCCGGCAAAAATGGAGCTCGTGGAGGCAGTGCATGGTTGGCCCGGGCTCCGTTTTCACTGGCAGAAGGCTGCAGGAGGATGCCGCGGCCGAAAACGGAGCCCAGGAATGCTGTGTGTGGCCTTGCCAAGCCCCATTTTTGTTGGCAGAGGGCAGCAGGAGGCTGTCGTGGCCGAAAACGGAGTGCTGTGTGCAGCTTCCCTGAGCTCCATTTTTGTTGGCGGGAGGCTGTTGTGGCCGAAAACAGAGACCAGGAGGGTTGTGTGAGGCCTCCCTGAGCTCCATTTTTGTTGACGGGAGGCTGTTGTGGCTGAAAACAGAGCCCGGGAGGGCTGTGTGGGGCCTCCCCATGCTCCATTTTTGTTGGCAGTAGGCTGTTGTGGCCAAAAGCAGAGGTTGAGATGGCTGTGTGAGGCCTCCCTGAGCTCCATTTTTTTGGCAGAGGGCTGTAGGAGGCCATCACGGCTGAAAACGGAGCCCAGGAGGGCTGCGTGTGTCCTCCCCGAGCTCCATTTTTGTTGGCAGAGGGCTGCAGGAAGCTGTCGTGGCCGAAAATGGAGCCTGGGCAGGTAAGTGGTGGGATTCAAATTTTTTTTACTACCGGTTCTGTGGGCATGACTTGGTGGGCGTGGCAGGGGAAGGTTGCTACAAAATCCCCACCCCACTAACCTGCTTTCCAGCTCCGTTCTCCTGTGCAGGGCAACCAAAGAAGACCCAGCCGATCAGCTGGGACTCGGGAGGCAGGGAAGAGATGGGTTTGGCGGGGCCAATCAGAGGCGGCATTTGCTGGCTCTCCGATCTACTCAATATTTCCGCTTCCACTTCTGCAGAACTGGTCAGAACCGGCTGAATACCACCTCTGCTGGGCAGGCTGTGCATGGCCCTCTCGAGCTTCGTTTTCGCTGGCAGAGGCACCATGAGGTGGTCGTTTGTTATTTCCAGGCCGGCCTCACGGGCCAGATCTAAGAACCCCACGGGCCAGATCTAACACACCCCCGGGGCCTTGAGTTTGACACCCCTGACTTATCTGGTGTTGAATACCACCGATGCATCATCTTGTCAACATTCTCTTTTAAATTATAATTTGATTTCCTGAAAAGTGGAATCCCTCCGCCCTGTCCTGCCAAGAGCCGGCGTTGCCAGTCTCCTGAGCATCTCCCTCATCCCAGGCACGGTGGGTGGTACTCACTGGTCATCACTGAACACCAAATCTTCGGTTGAGGGCGGCGTGAGAATAATTTTGGGTACCTGCCGCTTCTTCGTAACGGACACTGCAAGGGAGGGAGGAATTATGGGTGTGCATGCATGTAGAAACAAATGCTTAAAAAAACAACGAGGGAAAATGGGGTTCCTGCGGAAGCCCTAGGAATAATAACGGGCGTCCGACTGAACCAAGCACACCAGTGTTGCTGGGGCGGGGAGGGGGTTGCTTGAGACCATCTATTTGCTCCCGCTGTCTGCCAGAGGTTGGAGTGGCTGGGCCTACAGGCTGGGGCCACCGATTTGCAAACTGCAAGGGAGCCAGAATGCCTCCCAAAACCACCGAAGTACCAGTTGCCTCAAAGTGCCATTGACCGACTTCCTTCCTTCACAGTGGTTAGAAAGCAGTATTGCAGGCCATCTCTGCGCACAGCCAGGAGTTCAATCCTGACAGGCTGGAGGTTGACTCAGCCTTCCATCCTTCTGAGGTGGGTCAAATGAGGACCCAGATGGCTGGCTCTGTAAACCGCTTAGAGAGAGCTGCAAAAGCATTGTGAAGTGGTATATAAGTCTAAATGCTATTGCTAGTGCTCTTTCTTTCCTCCTCCCCTCCTTCCCTTCCTTCACAGTGGTTAGAATGCAGTATTGCAGGGCCAACTCTGCCCACTGCCAGCAGTTCAATCCTGACCAGCTCAAGGTTGACTCAGCCTGACTTCCTTCCTTCCTTCCTTCCTTCCTTCCTTCCTTCCTTCCTTCCTTCCTTCCTTCCTTCCTAGTGGTTAGAATGCCGTATTGCAGGGCCAATTCTGCCCACTGCCAGGAGTTCGATCCTGACCAGCTCCAGGTTGACTCAGCCTCCCAGCCTTCCAAGGTGGGTCAAATGAGGACCCAGATTGTTCAGGGGCAAGATGGCTGACTCTGTAAACCGCTTCGAGAGGGCTGCAAAGCACTATAAAGTTGTATATAAGTCTACGTGCTACTGCTACTAGTGCTATTGCTATTTTGTCGAGAAGCACCCCAGTCACAGCGAGGGCTAGAAACAAGACCCCCCACTTAAACAAGAAGGCCTGGCAGAAAACCATGTTGGGTACAGACCTTGTTCAGAGTTGACCAACGCTGGTGGGGAAACTCAAAACCTTTTGTGTAGGGTCATCTACGCAACTGCCTGCATCTGGGTGTTCAACAGCCCAATTTGGCTTCCCACTGTGGGTTGACGTCAATGTTGTTAAGACAGCTGTTGACCGAGTGCACAAGTTTTAAGCCTGCCCATTGATAGATGAGGAAGAAGTGGGTTTCTCATCATTCCTTAGGAAGTGACTTAGGAACAAGAATACGGTGCCTTCTGGTTCTTCTTGTTTGCTTTTGAAGTACAGGGGTCTTCAAA